GCCCGCAGCTAAACGATCGGCAAAGAACTTGTCGATCGCAAGTACTTGTTCACGAGGCAGTGGCCACTGCTTCATGACACAGTACTTCTACCCTGGTTTAAGCTCGACCTCGTGTCGAATACCTTTATCCTTCGGTAACTCGCACGGAACAGTTTCAGGGAATACATCCTTGAATTCAACCAAATCTTCATAGAGAGAATTTGTCTTGAGCGATTCCCACGATTGGGAGTCATATCGCTCAACTCATGTATTTTCATCTAGGACACTCTCGTCCATAGATGAACTACTGAGAACTCTCTCGTTCTCGGTGAACACTGTTGCTGACCTTATGTCGGCTACGCACTCGTCGTCAGCGACGAGGACGCAGATCTGCTTGACTTTGCCACTACACAGATCACGCAAGAACCTTTTATTTTCGAGCGTTGGCAACTGAGTGATATCCCAAGTCAACTTCGGAGGCGCAATCGGATCAAGTGTATAAGCGCCTACACTTGATCCATCATTGACTATGACATTCAATGTCTCTTTCATTTCCTGGGGACTTATTCCCTCAGGCCCCGAAGGACTTATTCCTTCGGCTTCCCGGGGACTTATTCCCGCGGGTTTCGGGGAACTTGTTTCCGCCGTATTTGTAATATCAGGACTTATTCCCTTAATTTCCTCTAGCTGGGGTTGCGCACCACAAATACGGTCTCATATACATCAAATTTGGACGCCGTCCAATAAGTCGCGTTTGCAGCAATCGCACTTGAGGCTTGTCTGTAGAAAGCGTCGGGCTTATAGCCAAGCAAATAGCGCCGTTATTGCGGTGCTTTCTTGCGTTGTACGTACATCAGCTGGATTTCAATGTGGCAGTTAGACGTCGTACTTTGTCTGACAGCTCGGTAGAACCTACAATTGTCGTCAGATCCCCTATTATCATGTGGGCGTCGTATTAACCAACAGCTATGGCATTATAGTCATCACATTTTCGAAAAAGCTATGAATGCATGCGTGTGAAAGTAGGTGGAGTCGCACTTGTGGTGCTCAAACTACCATAAGCAATTTTTTTAACTACGTTGCTGTAGCAGTAGCATCCCAAGTGGCATCACTACTCCGTTGTTTATGTCAAACAGGGGGCATCTCATTCTCGTGCTCTGGATTGCTGCAATTTTGCATGTGTAAAACCAGCCTGAGTTGAATTCAGACGTCAAATCAGATAGTGCACTCAACGAAGGTGATGACGACAACTCCTGGCCACGGCTTAACATATTTAGCCACTACTCGCAGTTACAGCATAATTGTGGGCGCTCTCCAAGAAGGCGCACTTGCTGTCGACCAATAAACCTTTCTTTCATATCCTCAGCAATCTTTTGCCGTTATTGTCACCGTCTTCAATTTAGTATTAGAACACAAATCAGTCCGAGAAAGCAGTTTAACTCCTTACCTCATTATTTCTTGCAAAAACTTCTTTGTATCAACGATGAGAAACAGTAAGTTTTATAGGACGAGCGACTCAGGCCTAAGTCATCGTAAAACTTTATAGGAAACCCGGAGTACAAGAGCAAAATTGGCGTCATAATGGATCTGCTGAAGCTGGAAGACTGAGTGGCAGCCACGAAGTCAACAGCTACAATACTCTGGGTGATGCTACAGGATCGTCCAGACGACGTATGTACCGCATTTCTGGTTGCGATGAAAGTCTTGATGCATGTGATATACATTACATTGCCAACATGCTGGTGTACGTTTGGAAGCGGACACGGGCTCACCTTTTCATCGTTGATTCGAATTTCGGACACCAAGACACAGTTGCTGCAGGATTCCAGTAGTGCACCGTACTATCTCGCATCGTGTGAGTGTCATTTAGCAGACGTAGTGCTGCTTTTGCAAGCGCCTCGTATATTTGATACCATCTAATAGAGTATTGATAAAGGGAAACAATGGCTACGCACTCACAAACAACTTGTTTACTGGAGGGAAACTTTTGGACTGAGTCTACTCAATGCATGTCTTCATGTCAGGAGGAATCTTGTACGAAATACCTTCCAGATAAAACCTTCCCTGGAAAAGGTATTGTCAACCGCCACCCTTTACTTCATTGTCCACCGTTGACTTGCATCCAGTTTCCAACACGCCCTCCTCCGTCAGTAGTTACTGCGGCAAAACGTTCTTGGTCATCCCTATCATGGTGATAAGTGCCTCAAAACGCGCACTCGCCAGGGGCTTGGTCATCAAGTCTGAGGGATTCACGTCTGTCTTTACCTTCCACAGTTCTACTGCTTTCTTCACATACTGATCTCGAACGTAGTGCCAGCGTAGTTCAATGTGTCGTGTTCTGCGACTGTAGGTCGGGTTTGTAGCCATCACAAAGGCAGCTTTATTGTCAATCCCGAGACGAAACTTCGACACCAACCTTGGGAATATCTCGATTAGAACCTGAATGAGACCCCTCCCTTCCATACAGGCCTCGCAAGCTGCTACATATTCGGCCTCAGCCGTAGATTGAGCCACGATACTCTGCCGTCGTGACGCCCACAATATCGCACCTCCTGCCAAGCAATGTACATATCCAGTAATGCTTTTCCTCGTGTCTGGGTCGTTTCCCCCAGTCCGCATCGCAAAATCCCTCAACGGTTAAATCACTTCTTAATTTTCCATCATTGTTTGCGTGGAACACAATTCCATGAGTCTTGGAACCCACCAGATACCTTAACACTCTCTTGGCTGCGCCAATGTTGTTGTTGTGTTGGGCTTTGCACGTATCTACTAAGCTGCCCGACCACATACGCAAGATCTGGCCTCGTACATGTTGCCAGATACATCAATGAGCCAATTAGCTCACGATATGGAAATTCTTTGCCATTGTCAGGTATGCGTTTGGCCCTCGCGGCATCCGTATCGTTTACAGCAAGTCGTATGTTTGTTTCCATCGGAATTCTGCTAGCGTGCGCATCTCCAAAGTTAAAACGATTGATAACGTCTTCGCAGTATTTCGTCTGATGAATTTTAATCGCATCATCGCTTCTCTCTACTTGAACACCCAAATAAGTGCTAAGTAGACCTTGATCCTTCATTCCATAGACCTCGTCCAGACTCCGAAACATTTTCGTCTTGAACAATTCATTCTTGGTTGCACACAGAATGTCATCCACGTAGAGTAGTGCCAATACGAACTTAGAACCTGAATCGTAGTAATACAGACACGGTTCTGTAGTGCAACGCTTAAACCCGTACCGTAAAAACCACGCATTTACTTCGGTGTTCCACTCTCGACCAGACTGTTTAAGACCATACAGTGCCTTGTGAACAACATATACCATGTCGTCAGTTTCAGAAGGATATCCATCTAGAGAGTCCAAGTACTGCTTGATCCCCAAGGGTGCATTCAGGTAGGCCGTGTTGATATCACCCTGGTAAATGGTCAAGTCCATCAATAGGCAAATGGCCACGAACATCCTGAAAGTCGCCATACGTGCTACAGGACTGAAGGTTTCTCCATAGTCAATTCCTGGGCGTTGTTTGTCACCTCGAGCCACAATTCTTGCTCGAAGACGGATAACGTTGCCTAAGTGGTCCGTTTTAACACTATAGACCCACATTGTCTTGATCGCTTTAGTGTCTTCAGGCATCTCTCGTTTCGAAATTAATGTGATCACTCCCTTGGACTTCATTGCTTCCAATTCTTCGTCCATAGCTGCTTTCCACTGGGTTGTATATTTCGAGCACATCGCCTGACGAAAGTTCTTTGGTGTCCGAATATCACTTGCGCGAGTACCGTACGCTTCGCTTTCAACGTTCTTTGGTGTTCTGAATGCAGCGTTAACCGTGAAATCTTCGCGCTGGTTCAGTATACATTGCTGATCATTCTTTCTCAATATGGGTAGACACGGAGTGATCTTTGCTCTTTTGTGATCCTCTTTTATTCTTTTGTGCTCTCTACTTCGCCTGACTTCGACATCTCTGGGTCTTCTGTGGCCGATCAGCTGATCATTGGCAATGGTCAACGTCGTGGTGCCGTTCACAGCCTCCAACATGTCACTTGGATCGAATAAAGGATCGAATAAACAATCATAATTGTAGTCACTTGCAGCATAGACAGATTCATTTCGAGTCACTTCAGGGTCTGTTATATGTCCAGTATCAGTGAGCAGTCTCTCTTCACCTGAAGCTGTATCATCATCTGCGTCTGTATCATCATCAGCGTTATCATCGTCAGCTGTTTCCTCGTCATTGTGCGACTCAAGTCCGGATTCCGCATCGTCTTTATCGTCGTCATAAATATCCGAGTCATTTGCAACTGCTTTGTTGCTATCTGGAACAGAGTCACAATATTCGGCGCAATAATGTGCTGTAGAATCAGCTGGAGGATCCGATGCATCTTCTGAAAATTCTTGAGAAATGCTGTCACTGGGTGCTAACTCTTCCCCCGGCGTAGCATGTTCAGATAGTTCGTGAGAAACGCTGTCACTGGGTTCTAGCTCTCCCCCTGCGTTTCACCAGATTCGCTCTCCTGACCTTCTTCTTTGTCGCTACTGCTCGCACTGAAATATTGTTCGCTGGTTTGTCCTTGTGTCTGGACCACTTCTGGTAAAATACTATTGCGTAGCATGTCATTCCACAAGGTTTGGTCTGCCTCATTTAGAGTGTCGGGATCGGATTCAGCAGTCTCCATCTGAATGGTACTGCTATTACAATCCATGCTTGCTACAATGTCAGTCAGATGTGACACTGTTGGAAACTGGATGCAAGTCAACGGTGGACAATGAAGTAAAGGGTGGCGGTTGACAATACCTTTTCCAGGGAAGGTTTTATCTGGAAGGTATTTCGTAGAAGATTCCTCCTGACATGAAGACATGCATTGAGTAGACTCAGTCCAAAAGTTTCCCTCCAGTAAACAAGTTGTTTGTGAGTGCGTAGCCATTGTTTCTCTTTATTAATACTCTATTAGGGTTATGAGCCCAAAGACGACCTGCTATTAAGAGAAGCGCTAAACAAGACTACACTACAACAACTATACCATGTATTCCTCATCGGACTCTGAGGACGGCAAGAGAAAAAGACACAAGGAGATTAAGTTGGGATCGCAAGGCACTCCAGTAAATTGGAATGGAGAAGACTGGACCTTCTACAAGCACGCGATGCTCAACGCATTCGAGCAAAACCTACTCGATGAGATCGCAGCAGGAGGCGTTGTGGAGGACGCATCCTGGAATCAAGCCAAGAAGGACAAGTTCAAGAAAAGTCAAGCCGAGGTGAAGATTCTTATTCAAGGCTCGTTGTCGATGAAGCTGGCCAAGCAGGTGATGTCGAAGAAGACAGGAACCGAGATGTGGCACGAGCTCTGCTCAATTTTTGAAGGGAAGCAAAACTCAGCCATGATAGCGCAGAAAGTGTACCGCCTCCAAAGCGAGCTACACAGGACCCATTTGCGTCCAAATGGTGACGTGAGAAGTCATTTGTACACTTTGTTCGACATCAAAGACCAGCTCGAGGACTTGAATTCTCCTGTAAATGATTTACAGATGGTGGACATGATGCTGCGCAGTCTCCCGACGCAGATGTGCTATAATGAACTCAGAAGAAAGGTATTATTTAGCTCAAATATGAGTAAATATACGCCTGAGATAGTTCGCGAGATGATATTCACCGCCGAGTCGCGCAGTAAAGACTGGGAAAGCTATGCATTCGGGAGCGCTCAAGGCAAGAAGAAGTCAAATGGTCCAACTACTGGAACGAGAGGTGGCATGAGGCAAACCTTGAGAGACGATAAGACGAGAAAAATCAAGAATCATGATTTTGAGTGTCATCATTGTGGAGGTAAAGGCCATTACAAGAGAAATTGTCCACAATTGATGAATGAAGAGAAGTCGCGTGGAAGAAAAAGTGCTCACGCAAAGTACGCCAACTCTGGTAGCAAGACGAAAATGGAAGAGAAGGGCGAGCCTTTATTGCAACGCAAGGTGCAAGCAGATAAGCGTGACGTGGTGATAGGAGAAGCTACTTAGTTGACGTCAAAGGATTCAACTTCTAGCAAATGGTATTTCGACACGGGTACAAATGCCCACATAGTGTCCTCCAAAAAATACTTTACTGTACTACAGAGTATGGAAGACAGTGACTGGAATCCAATGATATCCGGATTCACACTCAATGGAGCGAAAGCAAAAGCTGAAGGATTTGGTACGATTATCCTTGCAACAGTTGTTGATGAAGAATTGGTAACAGTGTTCGTGGAAGACGTTCTCTACGTCCCTCAAGCTGGATGCAATTTGTTTTCGCCTGGTTTGGCTATGGACCAAGGATTCAGCATGTCATGGGACCCGAATGCTAAGATATTTACTATGACGAAAGACGATATCGAGGTGATACGGACACATCGGAAGCACCGCCTATGGACGTTTACTGCTCAAAATGCAAATAATACTGCACAGCACAAGAAAAACATTACCACGAAGCGACAAGTTATTGCTAACTTTGCAGTGACTGATGGTGTGGAAGATATCGATGTCTGGCATGAACGACTAGCACACACGTGTCCAGAATATATCCGGTTGATGGTTGATCGTGGCCTGGCAAAAGGTATCATGCTAAAGAGACGTGGGAAATTCGATTGTGTAGACTGTCATATTGGTAAACAGCGGCGAAAGTCATTTCGAAAGGCGTTAGATAGAAATATCGCGAACGTTAATGACATTGTTTTTGCCGATTTGCTGATACCAGGAATAGGCAATGGATCCCCATACACCGCCGTCCTAGTCGTTATGGATGGATACTCACGTTACGTCAGTGTCTTCATGCTCAAGTCTAAGTCTGAGAATGAAGTCAACAAATTCATGCAGGAATATATTGCTTGGGCTGAACGACAAGTTGGCAAGAGGGTTGAGGCTGTGATTACTCATCAGTTGAGTGAAGATTCTCAACGAAGCCAAGGAGCTCTCGTGAGGCAAGTCCTTACAGACAAAGGGCAGGAATTTTGCAATGGTACAATGGCACAGTGGTATCAAGAAAGGGGCATAGTGCATACAAGAGTCGGCCCCAAAGCGTCCCAACTAAATTTAGTTGAGCGCACACACCAGACATTGATTGGAATGGTGAAGACCATGATGCACCAGTCTGGATTACCTAAATCATTTTGGGTGCATGCATTAGTAACAGCTGCCTACATCAAAAACAGAGTGTATTGCAAAGGGGCAGGACGCACTCCGTATGAGTTGATGTTTGGTTCGAGACCGGACGTTCATCACATCCGGGCGTTTGGGTCACTCACTTATTGTCACACGCCAAGAGAGAAACGGAAAAAGCTGAGCATGAATTGCCGAGTGGGATTCCTCATTGGATATCACGAGAACATTGTTGGTTGTCATGTGTACTTCCCAACAGAGCACATGAAAGGATATGTGTCAGATGTCAAGATAAATGAGGCTATAAAGTATAAGGATCGTTTCGACAGTGGATATACATCAAAAGTCAGACGGTGGCTCCAGACACTAAGTGAATACGCTGAGGAGGGCGCATTTAATGATTCTAGTTCTGAAGAATCCGAGGTGTCACATCTGACTGACATTGTAGCAAGCATGGATTGTAATAGCAGTACCATTCAGATGGAGACTGCTGAATCCGATCCCGACACTCTAAATGAGGCAGACCAAACCTTGTGGAATGACATGCTACGCAATAGTATTTTACCAGAAGTGGTCCAGACACAAGGACAAACCAGCGAACAATATTTCAGTGCGAGCAGTAGCGACAAAGAAGAAGGTCAGGAGAGCGAATCTGGTGAAACGCAGGGGGGAGAGCTAGAACCCAGTGACAGCGTTTCTCTATTAATAGAGTATTGATAAAGAGAAACAATGGCTACGCACTCACAAACAACTTGTTTACTGGAGGGAAACTTTTGGACTGAGTCTACTCAATGCATGTCTTCATGTCAGGAGGAATCTTGTACGAAATACCTTCCAGATAAAACCTTCCCTGGAAAAGGTATTGTCAACCGCCACCCTTTACTTCATTGTCCACCGTTGACTTGCATCCAGTTTCCAACACGCCCTCCTCCGTCAGTAGTTACTGCGGCAAAACGTTCTTGGTCATCCCTATCATGGTGATAAGTGCCTCAAAACGCGCACTCGCCAGGGGCTTGGTCATCAAGTCTGAGGGATTCACGTCTGTCTTTACCTTCCACAGTTCTACTGCTTTCTTCACATACTGATCTCGAACGTAGTGCCAGCGTAGTTCAATGTGTCGTGTTCTGCGACTGTAGGTCGGGTTTGTAGCCATCACAAAGGCAGCTTTATTGTCAATCCCGAGACGAAACTTCGACACCAACCTTGGGAATATCTCGATTAGAACCTGAATGAGACCCCTCCCTTCCATACAGGCCTCGCAAGCTGCTACATATTCGGCCTCAGCCGTAGATTGAGCCACGATACTCTGCCGTCGTGACGCCCACAATATCGCACCTCCTGCCAAGCAATGTACATATCCAGTAATGCTTTTCCTCGTGTCTGGGTCGTTTCCCCCAGTCCGCATCGCAAAATCCCTCAACGGTTAAATCACTTCTTAATTTTCCATCATTGTTTGCGTGGAACACAATTCCATGAGTCTTGGAACCCACCAGATACCTTAACACTCTCTTGGCTGCGCCAATGTGTTGTTGTGTTGGGCTTTGCACGTATCTACTAAGCTGCCCGACCACATACGCAAGATCTGGCCTCGTACATGTTGCCAGATACATCAATGAGCCAATTAGCTCACGATATGGAAATTCTTTGCCATTGTCAGGTATGCGTTTGGCCCTCGCGGCATCCGTATCGTTTACAGCAAGTCGTATGTTTGTTTCCATCGGAATTCTGCTAGCGTGCGCATCTCCAAAGTTAAAACGATTGATAACGTCTTCGCAGTATTTCGTCTGATGAATTTTAATCGCATCATCGCTTCTCTCTACTTGAACACCCAAATAAGTGCTAAGTAGACCTTGATCCTTCATTCCATAGACCTCGTCCAGACTCCGAAACATTTTCGTCTTGAACAATTTATTCTTGGTTGCACACAGAATGTCATCCACGTAGAGTAGTGCCAATACGAACTTAGAACCTGAATCGTAGTAATACAGACACGGTTCTGTAGTGCAACGCTTAAACCCGTACCGTAAAAACCACGCATTTACTTCGGTGTTCCACTCTCGACCAGACTGTTTAAGACCATACAGTGCCTTGTGAACAACATATACCATGTCGTCAGTTTCAGAAGGATATCCATCTAGAGAGTCCAAGTACTGCTTGATCCCCAAGGGTGCATTCAGGTAGGCCGTGTTGATATCACCCTGGTAAATGGTCAAGTCCATCAATAGGCAAATGGCCACGAACATCCTGAAAGTCGCCATACGTGCTACAGGACTGAAGGTTTCTCCATAGTCAATTCCTGGGCGTTGTTTGTCACCTCGAGCCACAATTCTTGCTCGAAGACGGATAACGTTGCCTAAGTGGTCCGTTTTAACACTATAGACCCACATTGTCTTGATCGCTTTAGTGTCTTCAGGCATCTCTCGTTTCGAAATTAATGTGATCACTCCCTTGGACTTCATTGCTTCCAATTCTTCGTCCATAGCTGCTTTCCACTGGGTTGTATATTTCGAGCACATCGCCTGACGAAAGTTCTTTGGTGTCCGAATATCACTTGCGCGAGTACCGTACGCTTCGCTTTCAACGTTCTTTGGTGTTCTGAATGCAGCGTTAACCGTGAAATCTTCGCGCTGGTTCAGTATACATTGCTGATCATTCTTTCTCAATATGGGTAGACGCGGAGTGATCTTTGCTCTTTTGTGATCCTCTTTTATTCTTTTGTGCTCTCTACTTCGCCTGACTTCGACATCTCTGGGTCTTCTGTGGCCGATCAGCTGATCATTGGCAATGGTCAACGTCGTGGTGCCGTTCACAGCCTCCAACATGTCACTTGGATCGAATAAAGGATCGAATAAACAATCATAATTGTAGTCACTTGCAGCATAGACAGATTCATTTCGAGTCACTTCAGGGTCTGTTATATGTCCAGTATCAGTGAGCAGTCTCTCTTCACCTGAAGCTGTATCATCATCTGCGTCTGTATCATCATCAGCGTTATCATCGTCAGCTGTTTCCTCGTCATTGTGCGACTCAAGTCCGGATTCCGCATCGTCTTTATCGTCGTCATAAATATCCGAGTCATTTGCAACTGCTTTGTTGCTATCTGGAACAGAGTCACAATATTCGGCGCAATAATGTGCTGTAGAATCAGCTGGAGGATCCGATGCATCTTCTGAAAATTCTTGAGAAATGCTGTCACTGGGTGCTAACTCTTCCCCCGGCGTAGCATGTTCAGATAGTTCGTGAGAAACGCTGTCACTGGGTTCTAGCTCTCCCCCTGCGTTTCACCAGATTCGCTCTCCTGACCTTCTTCTTTGTCGCTACTGCTCGCACTGAAATATTGTTCGCTGGTTTGTCCTTGTGTCTGGACCACTTCTGGTAAAATACTATTGCGTAGCATGTCATTCCACAAGGTTTGGTCTGCCTCATTTAGAGTGTCGGGATCGGATTCAGCAGTCTCCATCTGAATGGTACTGCTATTACAATCCATGCTTGCTACAATGTCAGTCAGATGTGACACCTCGGATTCTTCAGAACTAGAATCATTAAATGCGCCCTCCTCAGCGTATTCACTTAGTGTCTGGAGCCACCGTCTGACTTTTGATGTATATCCACTGTCGAAACGATCCTTATACTTTATAGCCTCATTTATCTTGACATCTGACACATATCCTTTCATGTGCTCTGTTGGGAAGTACACATGACAACCAACAATGTTCTCGTGATATCCAATGAGGAATCCCACTCGGCAATTCATGCTCAGCTTTTTCCGTTTCTCTCTTGGCGTGTGACAATAAGTGAGTGACCCAAACGCCCGGATGTGATGAACGTCCGGTCTCGAACCAAACATCAACTCATACGGAGTGCGTCCTGCCCCTTTGCAATAC